AAGCGGGAACATTATTCCAACAGGTCCGCTGAGACTGGGCCTCACCCGGCCATCCTTCCTCCGCCCTGCCCTGAGGCCTCAAATTCCGCGGGAGCACCGAGGCACCTGCTTCCAGAACGGGCTCCATCCGCGCGCGAGGGGACCCTGGGCGGTGCCCCTCGGCGTTCCAGGGCCTTCTCGGGAAGGGGCGGGGCGCTCCCGCGGCCGGNGCCCTCTACAGCTAAAATGGTGAACAACGGCTCGACCTGGAGCTGGGCTGCCATGAGTTGCCAGCGATGACGTAGGCTGCAGCCCCTGCTGCACTGGGCTGTCATGAGCTACCATGAGTGGCTGGCAGCTGGCGTGAGCTGCCAAGAGCTGCTGTCCAATGGCCGGCGAGCGACTGCCTCAGCCAGGAAGAGTGCAATGATGGTGCCAACTTGGGCCAGTGAAGCAACATCCTCCACAATTAGACTGAAGAACGAAAGGACAGCAACTTGTCTGTTCTTGCCCCAATTCCCCAGTGCTGTTCCCCTCCCCCAATTCCCCAATAAAATCTTAAAAAAAAAAAAGGGATCGCAGAGCCATGGGTTGGCATGGCCCAGAAAGGTGGCCTTGGAAAGGTAAGGAGCATTCAGTGGAAACAAGGAAATACATTCCAGGCGAAGGAAGATTAAGGTCAAGACCAAGGTAGAGGGCTTCCCTGCTTGGTGTCTGGTGGCCTTTCAACCTGTTTGCCTAAAGAGATTGTCATAGGCAGGGTATCTAAGGAAGAAGGTGGCCTTCCAAAGCCATTCAGGTCATCTTTCTGTCTCCAGGTCCCCAGGGAGCCTCCAAGTGCTTGTCCATTATCCAGCCCTTCTTGGGAAGCAAGTCAACCTAGGTCCCTGGGTTTTTGCATTATCCGATATGGCTCATGCTCCCAGGTGTAGAGTAAAGCCAGCCCTGCCACTCTGCCACCCTGGCCACAGCCGACTGAACCAGAAGTCCGAAGCACACCATTGGGTGGGGCGCACACTGGACAGCTCTGCAGTATAGGGCTGTGCCAGACTGAGTGGCAGTATACCAACCCAATCAGACTTTCTTTATGGGAAAGCAGGAAGGCTGGTGCATAGGAGGAGGTGGGCCACTTTAGCTTGGTGTATCCCAGGGAAAGTGACCCTTTATCTTGGTGCATGAACATGAAATTGGCTGACATCCCAGTCTGGAAATTTGGGGACTCAGAGAAACTGCTGGGCTGATGAAATAACACCCCACCTTCCACATACTGGCACTCACCCATCGTCTTTCCATGACTAAAGGTTACTTCTCCCCAGGACTCCTTAAAGATGGCAAGCCTGATCCCAAGACTCAGGGAGGGACATATAAGGAAGGGTGAGGCCTACAGGAACAGGGTCTGGGTAAGGGGAGAGGAGTGGCCTCTTTTCCCCACCGCTGGCTTTTATCCCCATGAGCACCCACTCCAGACAGCTTTTGAACTTGCAGTGAGCTTTTGATCCAGATTGAGCCCTGGCCATGCAGACAGAATCCAAAAGCTCCTTGGGCCTGGCCTGAGAGAAGATACCAAGACCTTGCCCATAGCCTGGCTAGACGCAAAGAAGGGCAGATTCTCCTGTTTCTTATCATCATCGCTGTGAGAACGTGTCTTGATTTGCAGAGCCAACACAATTTCATACTTTGTAGCATTTGCTCTGACTGGTGCCCCAGATACTTTGGGAAATGAGGAAACACAACTCAGAGTTATCTGCGGGGTCCAAGGTCAAAGCAGACTGGGGACCAGAAGGCAAGCCTCTGAGCTGATCCTTGGCCCAGGCTCTTCTCATGATTACACTGCTGCTGAAGAAATGGGGATCAAGGGCCGGCCGAGTGGCTCAGTTGGTTAAGAGCTCACTCAAGAGTTTGAGCTCTGAGCAACAGCGGTTCGATTCCCAGCCCGAGCTGAGCAGCCG